GTCTCTCAAATTTTAGCTACCATAAAAAAACAACAAGACGCTAATTTGCAAAGCGGGTGTGTTTTTCGTGATCAGCAGGCCAGATAACCTCTTTGCGCAAGTTTTCCAAGAAATTCGGGCCCTTCGATTTTTCCTCGTTCTAGGCTGTGAAGCTCGCCGACGGGTTTTGGCTAAAACATTGATGATCTTGGATTGGCCGGAAACTTCGCCCATAGAGGTTTTCGGACTCGCTGATTACGAAAATAGTGCTCTTTGGGCAGCGTAAGTTCTTTTAGCAGGGTTATGCTGAGAGAAATGCTGCGATACTACGCAAGTTCCTAAATTTGTCTGCCCTTTTCGCGCTTCTGTTGGACAACTTACCTGCTCCTTTTTGTAATTCGAAATCATTAGAGACAGTGCTCTCAGAGCATGCTTAAATTAGGCCCTTATCTGTATTGATCGCCGAACTGTGAGCATACGAATTCGCGTCCTCATAAAAATCGTTCGAAATTTCAAGGTCGCATAATTTGGGCAAATATCATTGCGACTGATTAAAATCACTCTGATTGCAGATATTATGTTTATGTACATATGTAAATTGATAATCTGAATATAGCATACTTGTTTACTCCCTATGTCATCTTACACCGGTAGCTCAAAGTTTGCAAAAAATCGATGGAGTCGGTAAATGTAATTTATTTTTTGAAAACTAACATTATATCCGTAGTCAGCACCCTCACTCACCTGCTTATACCAATTCCCAGCCCGGTAACTCAAAATTCGTAAAAAAAATCATTAAATCTACCAATGACGAAATGTAGTCTACGAGACCAGCTCGGCTCCTAAGGCTAGGTCCCATTTTCCGAAACTGTTCCCGCACAGTCCCGCACTGTGCTGGGAGCTGTGCGGGAACAGTTTCGGAAAATGGGACCTAGCCTTAGGAGCCGAGCTGGTCAATGATTTTTTTTACGAATTTTGAGTTACCGGGCTGGGAATTGGTATAAGCAGGTGAGTGAGGGTGCTGACTACGGATATAATGTTAGTTTTCAAAAAATAAATTACATTTACCGACTCCATCGATTTTTTGCAAACTTTGAGCTACCGGTGTAAGATGACATAGGGAGTAAACAAGTATGCTATATTCAGATTATCAATTTACATATGTACATAAACATAATATCTGCAATCAGAGTGATTTTAATCAGTCGCAATGATATTTGCCCAAATTATGCGACCTTGAAATTTCGAACGATTTTTATGAGGACGCGAATTCGTATGCTCACAGTTCGGCGATCAATACAGATAAGGGCCTAATTTAAGCATGCTCTGAGAGCACTGTCTCTAATGATTTCGAATTACAAAAAGGAGCAGGTAAGTTGTCCAACAGAAGCGCGAAAAGGGCAGACAAATTTAGGAACTTGCGTAGTATCGCAGCATTTCTCTCAGCATAACCCTGCTAAAAGAACTTACGCTGCCCAAAGAGCACTATTTTCGTAATCAGCGAGTCCGAAAACCTCTATGGGCGAAGTTTCCGGCCAATCCAAGATCATCAATGTTTTAGCCAAAACCCGTCGGCGAGCTTCACAGCCTAGAACGAGGAAAAATCGAAGGGCCCGAATTTCTTGGAAAACTTGCGCAAAGAGGTTATCTGGCCTGCTGATCACGAAAAACACACCCGCTTTGCAAATTAGCGTCTTGTTGTTTTTTTATGGTAGCTAAAATTTGAGAGACATCGATTTTTGCAAAATTCACCGGCCTATCTTTCTCTTTGGAAAAGGGATCCTCCGCTATTCGCTAGCGCATGGTAATCTACAGAAACAGCCCTATCGAATGGTGTTTACTAGAGTCTTTCTTGTGTGTTCTTCGCTGAGTTACACTACTACGAAAACCCGTCCTCATACAAAAATCGAGAAGACTGAAAACGGAATAGTAAGAGAGTGCAGTATATCAGAAGATTCGTCTTGACGCGCTGAACATCACGCTTTCTTCGGATTCGTATTTTATGCAATCTGAAGGAAGTTATGAAGAAAAAACGAAAAAAACGCGGATCGTCAGTTTTTGCGTTTTCTGTCCAATAATTAGTGTGGGTACTGTACATGTATCAAAAGATGCATCGGAATTTGAGAGACACATATTCGACATCTACCCCAGTTCACTGGAGATAGAAAAGACAAACAGAGTAGCAAAGTAACAAACTTTTTCGACTCAACTATAGATACCAGTAACCAATATAATGTTAAGTTTAGTTTGTATAATAAAGCGGATAGTTATGACTTTAGAGTTATTAGTTATCCTCACTGGCAATCTAACATACCTAGATACATACTAATAAATACTTTGACATCAGAAGTACTCAGAATTTATAGAAACTGTTCCTGTTATCTAGAGTGTAAAAATAGAGTATTAGATTTAGGTAAGATATCGAAAAATAATGAATGGGAATGTAGTTACTTCATAAATATCGTATACCACGCTTTACATGACCGGCCATCCATTTTACGTAAGTATGGTTTTCCTACGGCCATTCATCTCCCTTTAAAACATGACCTATAAGAATTGTGGTCTAAAGACAACGGCTGGAATAGCAAGGTCACATTCAGATTCAACTGATGCATACCATCGTGTCTATCACTTTGTTTTGATCATGTTTATCACACTCTCCGCTTCATCTGCTCAGACACATCCACCGGCCGGTTACCATCCGAAAAAATTTTCCGGACGGCGTCCGGACGAGTCTCTACAAAAGCGCGACATATGCACCAAAATGTATCGTCCGCTCCACAGCTCGGCTACATTGGACTGCGTCTCAGACCTGCCACGTGTGGCTAACATGTTGGCAACGTGGCAACAACATGTTTGCAACATGTCTCAACATGTTGGCAGAACATTTTGGCCACGCTAACATGTTGCTGCATGTTGCCAACGTGTTGCTGCCAACGTTGTCATTGTGTTAATCACACGTGGCGCGTCCGCGACGCCACAAGGGTTGCACGAGTTGTGGAGGAGACAATACCTACCGTTAGAAATCAATGCTTGATTTAGTCGAATCCACTATCTTATCTTATCAAAACTGATAATGATGAGATAGCGTTTGCACTTATCCTCAAGTCCATTTATGAATGTTAACTTTCCAGAACTTTGTTGTGGGTCATCCTTGTGGAACGGAGCCAGGACCGACTGTGGATGGAACTGCACATTTTTTAAGAAACCTTGTTCATGACCTGTGACCCATCTCATAAGATTCCAAATAACTTTCAACGTGAATCGATGACTAATTGCGCAGCAGCTGCATTTGTATGCTCCTTCTTTTTCTAAACCACCAGCTACAACCTAGGTTGACATTATGGCTGCAAAAATGGAAAAGATCGGAAGAGAAGTGGAGATACGCGCAACCGGGGAGCTAGCCGAAAATGTTGTTTTTATATCGTTAAGTAACTGCAGAAGACTGGAAAATTTCTGGGCCTCTCCACTTCATCGAGGTAACTTTTGCAGAAGAAAATACAAATTAAATTGCTGCTAACATTACTCTTAACGATCTCTTCGTCGGATACAAAGTAGGAGGTAAAATCAGCGACATTGTTCCAAAGACTTGCAGAGGTTGTATCGATACATATTCCAAAAGGTCAGGTCGTTATTAGTTCCTCCAACTTTTCGTCTTCGAGTAACTTATTTAGATAACGGAATCCACCATACCGAATTCAAGAGTACTCAGTACTCCTCAAGGGAAAGGATGGAAGAGACAAGAACCTTGCCACGTGTAATGGAGAATAAGCTATATCCATCACTTTAGAGGGCAGAAGCAAGGAGTGTAATTTGCTAGCAATACAGTCGCTGTACGATCCTCAAGAGTTCGTAGATAGATTGTTTCGCATGCTGGGAAGTAACAAAATCGACAAATACGAAGTGAGTATTCTGAAATCAAAATTCAAATTTTTCTGTATTCTTTTTTACTGTATTCGAACTCTTCATTCCGCATCGCCCTCTGTGCTCGAGTCATAAAAGTCCGTCGCCTGCATTTATTCAGTTTCTACTCATACCTGCACCGTCACCTGCAGCTGTTCTGTTCCTCTCTAGGCAGTTTCTATTTATTCAATGTGTTTTACCAATTTTGTTTTTGTTGTTTGTTTTTGAATGCCGAAAATGTATTTCGTGATTCGTTGTTGCACACATGTTTTGGCTATGTATATTTCTGTGATTTTAATGAAGCTAGCTATGGTTCTACTTGGAAAAGATGACTGAGAACATCAAATGCTAGAAATACTAGAAAGTAAGTATGAAAGAGTACACCGTTCTGGCGGCCGTTCCATCAACACCGTCTTTCCGGCTGGGCCGGACGTCAGCCGGACGCCAGCCGGTCAGACATTCACAGCGGCCGGCCCAGCCGGAAAGACGGTGTTGTCTCAGCCGGTCTTCGGCCGGTCACCGGCCGAAAAATGTGTCTGAATGGTTATTATTTGTAAAATTTAACTCTCATAGTTGCCTTCTGACTCTTTAACAATTCTTGGTAATCATATTCATGAACATGTTACTTTTTGAAGCTTTCTTGGGAACTACTGATGATGGGGCGCCAAGAAAGCTACTCTACCGGTTTAGTTCTTAGCCCCGAAACCGGTTGTGTGAGAAACAGTAGTTATTTTTTGCAATTTTGGGATATCTTGGAATATTCTTTCTTATTGTGGACTCATCTCTTTGTTTGTTTATGATTGAAGGACAATCGCGAGAGCGGAGCAGTTCAAGCGAGGCAAAGCGCCGAGTCTCCGCGACTGCGCCAATGAGGCAGGCGGAACAGGCATTAATAAGACACGTACCACACAAATTACCTCTGTGCATATATTGCATTTGTGATTGTGACACATCTAATCGATCAAAGATGACAGTATTGCTCAACGCTATCAAAGATGACAGTATTGCTCAACGCTATCAAAGATGACAATATTGCTCAACGCTCACACTGGTTTTGCACCGCAGATGCCGTCGCTTTTTCAAATAGCAGGCAACATAATAAACACCATCAATGAAAATAATGGCTTTTAAGCTGTTCACTCACTCCGCAATAAACATAAATTACATACATCAGCAACTCTAAATGATTTTGTCGACAGCTTTGCTGACAAGCAGAACTTCAGACCAGGCGAATAATGCTCATAAAAACACAGAAATATTCACATTTATGTATATTGCCACATTATTACATTTCGTCATTCTTCATTTGCCGCGACCATCGTCGATCATCGTTGTCATTCTAAAACAAAACTTTAAATGCTAACTAAGAGAAAATTTGTCTTTAGCAAAAGCTGTTTGCTTATTATATGCTGCGACGTTGTAAGGTCGTGCAATAGGTCCTGTCCCATTCTTTGATTTATTTCCTTTTCATATTTCCATGATTGATAAACTGTGCATATGCGTTGACGAGCTCTTAGTCTCCTCCAGTAAATTTATCAACTTATTTTTTTTCTTATTTTGAAAATGTACAGAAAGGGAATACAACAATTTTTCCAGGAAAAGGAGTTACGGACTTGTTTTGGCTACCCGTTGCCGAGTTACGAAAAGAGGATGGTCATGTAGTGAAGGGGATCCTAAAAGGTGTTGGATTCTTTGGTCTACGGTCTGCAGGCGATGTCGGTATGGCGTAAGCTGTTGTTGGAGTAATCCAGGTAAGTTCACCGAATTGAAGGGAACAAAAATGTATGCACTGGATATTCAGATGCTTGCGGAGTTAGTACTTCAAAAAATGCAGCCAAGAGCACCTTATCTGAATGAACGTAATTGCCGAGCGTTGGCTGCCAGGGCAGCTGCACCAACAGATCTTCGTCATGGGATGCAGCTCGCATTCGACATCGTGTCAAATGTAAGTTACCACTACAGCCAGCGGCGCACTAGTATCAGTATTTCGGTATCATTCGATTTTTAGGGCTACCGACAGGCTTGCGATTTGGAACTCGCAGCACAAGAAGATGACCGTCCGGACAATCTTCCTTCCGCATTGTCCTTAAATTCGCAACAAAGACTTTCATTCGACCACTCGTTGTCAGCACACAAATTGGACATCAATTGCTAGAAGGTCGAAAAGCAGTTCTTCTTTTATCTCATTTTATTTACAAAGATTTCTCAACAATTTCCTTTCTAAGTCTTCGCGTCCAATTGGGACCTGATGTCTACCAAGACGAGCGATAAATGGAAGGACGAAGGGGTTCCCGGTGGCAGTGGACAACATTAATTTTCAATGCTTTTCCTCTTTGAGCTTTCACGAGTTGCCTCCTTTCTCTGTGATTTGATATCAGTCCATTTAACCATTCGTTCCTAGAAGTTACAGGTGCATGTTTGTATCGCAAAGTCTGCTAAAACGTCTAAAAATGTGTAGGGAAAATCTTGTTCTCCCCAGGTCACGTGGTCTTTTGAAATCGTCATTCATCGTCTCATTTGCCTTTATGACACTGGAAGCTAGTAATGAGGTGCGTGTCATTGTTTTGTATTTTGCTGTACACATCAGTTTATGCTGCTTTCATTTGAATGTGTAGCTTGCACTTTCTTGGAATTTTTCTGTCATCAGTAATCGAATAGTTTTTTTTGTGAATTTATGTATATTCCAAACATATTCCCCAAAGCATTTTCTTGGAATCTCTCTGTCAGTCAGTAATCGAATTTTTTTTGTGGATTTGTATGTATATTCTAAATATATTCCTCAAATCTCAACTCTTTTGAACTGTTTGATCCAACAGATTCTTCTTGCTTATACATATGCTTTCTGCTTTCTTATGATTGCGCCTCTTTTCGAATATCAAATCTTAGCTTTCTCTGCTGATGCCTATAAATAGAATTTTTTCTTGCTGTTTTGCACTCAAGCTTCTGAGTCTTTAGGAAGCGATTCAAAAGTGTGAGCTTGGAGATGATTTGCCCCAATTTCACAAGTAGGAGCGCGGCATAAGTACTCTGGAGAATACAGAAGAGTGTCTCCGCACACTATACTTGGGACCGAATTGAATAATTATTCGATCATTCGAATAAATCATTCGAATTCGAATGATTCGAAAAGTCGTTCGAAAATTTGAGATTTCGAATAAAATTCGAAATCGAATATTCGTAATTTTCAATTTTCGAATATATTCGATAGTCGAGTAGTCGAAAATCTTCATTTGCGAATATTATTCGAAAGTCGAATATTCGAAAATCTTGAATTTCGAATATTATTCGATAGTCGAATATTCGAGGGTCATTCATTCGATCATTCGATGTCCATCAAATATTCGAATATTCGTCGAGCACCGAGTATTCGGAAATTCGATAAGAATTGACTATTCGAAAATTCGATATGCATAGCGTATACGGGATGTCTCAAAAGTATGTACACACCGTTTGATCGTTAATACCTCCCAAAGTCTTTTGCCAATTTCTGGGTAACATCCAGTAGGAATTGCTTCAGCTTATAAATACAGCAGAAAGCGAATCACGTTTTTCTTATTGTGTTTTATCACAGTAGGAAACTCCAGCTTATATACCAACTGCAAAATAAGACATCCAAAAATTGTCCCAAAAAAGGTCTAAAATCTGTGCAGCAGTGTTCTTACGTATGCTGATTTTACTACGCACGAGTTTTAAAGGTTTTCAAATGAAAATCACATTTTTAAAAGGCGTTGCAAGACACTTGTTACGGTGTATCGTTTGTCCCCCACAAATTTCCCATAGGTAGCACGTCACGTCGCTGCCTTTCGCTATTTTGAATGTGTTAACCTCGGGCAGTTCCGTTGAAATCTCAGGAGAAACGTGTCAAAAAGAGCGAAAATATGAGAACTTTTCTGAGGGACACAGGATACCTGGCGTAAGTTTTGAAAAAAGCATTACGGTTGAGTGCAAATTCTACATAAAGTGAGTGTCTTTAGATATCTAAAGCAAGACTTTCAGCCCTTTTGATTCTTTTTCTTGGGGAAATGGCTCTTGATGTTTTGAATTCAGTCTTACGGTAATTTTACCACAGTGAAAAGCGATTGATAAATCGCCCCATACTCTAAGTTGATGTCAGTCTACAGATCTACATACTGTTGGGACCGCTGTATATCCAATCGCAACTCTCAGTGAGGGTATATAATCTTTTTCGAAATACGAAAAATCTCTTCATAACCGTCACAGGAGTAACTTTTAAGTTCCTAAGTCTCTTCGTCACGACTAAACCGTTTTTCCATCGTAAATTGTATCATAAGAATGCGTCCATTCTTAGCACTTACATGGAACAATTTATTCTTAGTGTTTTGGCCTTTCATAGGCAGTCTCAATGACGTAAATTATTCGGTCAGTATTCGAAAATCGAATGATATTCGAAAATCGAATAATATTCGAGAACCGAATAATATTCGAAATTCGAATAACGAATGATATTCGATATTCGATATTATTTGAAATTTTCATTTTCGAATAATATTCGAAAGCCGAATATTCGAGAATTTCGATTTTCAAATATTATTCGATATTCGATCAATAATATATTCGTAATCAGCATGCTCACTTACCCCCCTGTGCCAACTGTTAGCCCCGTATAGCTCAAACTTTTTAAAAAATCAATAAAATCGATATTAATCGATGATGAAAAGTAGCCTATGACACCCGCTCGGCCCTGAAGTGTATGTGTGCAAAGTTTGGTTCGGATCGGTTCAAAAATGGAATTTTCTATCCGAAACATACGTACACACAGACAGACAGACAGACTACAGACAGACAGACATACAAACAGACATTCAGCTTTATATATATTAATATGTTGTTTAGTTTGTTGTCACGTTTTTTGAAGAAATTTTATTGCGAAATTAAGAGAAAACAGGAGACTAATCTGTTGTTTAGTTTGTTGTCACGTTTTTTGAAGAAATTTTATCGCGAAATTAAGAGAAAACAGGAGAAGGTGTCGAAAATGGACTATTTGCTTTTTGGTTCTTTCGCTTTGAAACGAAAACTTTTCGGATTTTTTGCACTGTTTTAAAGAGGTAAGAGGTTGAGTTTAGGAGAATGAGAGCGTTCTGGTGCATGCACATTTTGTCAGTCAAAAATTTTGAAGAAAAAGATTGAAAATGGGATAGAACTTATCACACAACCTTATATTAGGTTGCGTGATATGTTCTGTCCCATTTTTTCTTTCGATTTTATCACAGGTTTTTGCACGTGTCTTGCAAAATGCATATATGCATTTGGAAGGTCTAGGTCTGCTCTAATAAAATCTTCACATTAGTTTCTTTTATCAATAGATTAGAAAGTTTTCCAGCAATAGTTTGGAAAACCAAAGAGGAAATACCATTCTCGACAACTAATTTGAGTCACCCCCGTTTAAAGGCACCGTCCACCCAGATTTTCGACTTTCGACTTTTTTTTGTCGTTTCAGGGCCTTCTCATGTCCCTGGTTCCGAATATGAAGTCGAGAATGCTCGGAAATCCCGGCAATCCCAGTTCCGGAAAACCCACAGGTCGGCCTTCCTGAACGGTGATTCGATGGGCGCGCACAAATGGGCGGGCATGGATGGGGGAGGGCGGGCATGGATGGGGGTCTTCTGCATCTTCGCGATTCCGAGGCGATTTTCTCACTTCCGAAACGGCGTTGTGCGCCGCAACTTGGGCATCGGATTGATAGGGGGCCCTACTTTACAAGCTGCCAAAATCTCACCACCCACAACTTAGGGTGGACGGTGCCTTCAAGCCACGATGCTTACAAAGCAGCTAATCTGCTGAGCGTAAGGAAAAAATGTTGTAGCTTCTGCAGAGGCTCAAAAGTGCAGAACAGTTTCAAAAAGTTTTTCTCCAAACTCATAAAAGTCTTCTTTCTAATGTCTTTTCAATGCTGACGTTGAGCATCTGAAGGCAGTCATGAGAAAGCACGGTAGACAGATAGTCCAGAAGAAGCAGCAGTGATCGTCTTTGGCTATAAAATCATCGAATTCGTAAGTTCTTTACTCAGAAATTCAATGTTTGGGGAAACACAGCTTACGTTGGCATGGCGAAGAACATCGCCACAGCAAACTTTTGCTTGCCGACTTCTGAGATGGCATTCTAGAGTCGGTAGAAGGAAGAGAACAAGTACAAACAATGTCATTACTATAAGAGTCTAATAGGCTGTTTTGTTTGTTGTCAAGCTTGTTCAATAAAAATTACCAATGAAAAACGGGGAAATTTGGAGAAAAAAAGATGTCGAAAACAAATTTTTTGCCTCTTCGGATTTTTCCTTTTAATGCCAATAAACATTTTCAATATCCTGCTAACTTGGGGAAT